CTCTCAGAAGCATGACCTTGTCTCATGTCAAACACAAATTATTTTACCAAAAACAAAGAGAAGATCCCACTTTTTCTGAAAAAATTAGTCACAGAAGGGTAGATTTCAATTAATTGACTATTCCAGTTTACTAAACATCTTCATAAATCCATGGGTTTGAACAATACTCAGCAACTAAGAATATATTTTATTGACAGTTCACTTTTATGCCATTCCACTATCTTGGCCATTTTTTATATCCCTTTGTATAATTAATATCCCAACCCAACTGACACATATGGTTCAAACAAATTTGTACCAACACATGGACTTACCCATACAAAGTATCCACTAACATACAAGTATGCTGTTGAGTTTCCACATTAAACATTGAGACACCATATGTTTTTTCCTGAAATTTTCAAAGAACTATTAACTAAATTATACCTAGCATGTTAACATACATATGACAGAGCACTGGAATTCAGAAGTACAGGCAGGAAGCAGGAAAGGTAATTTACAGCATCAAGATGGGAGTCAAATATCAAGGTTAATACTGCCTTACACAAAAGGGAAAATCTATATAATTTATTCTCTTCTAGTTTAGAGGTTCTTCAGGCCATATAACTTAGGGTTATGATATGTATAATAGCCACACATTGTGCTTAATGTTATGCATGTATTTTTTCATTTGGAGCTCACCACACCCCCATGAGGTAGTCAGTAATATTAGCTCCATTGTACTGATGACAATAGAGAAGTTGACACCAAATGATGGAGGAGAAAGTTGTCTGATGGAGCGCATTCTCATAGCAACCTATTTCTTGCATTGTGCATAGTTATGCAATTTAAAGGAAATGTGGCTAACCACTACCTGGGCTATCTGAATGAGACTGTCAAAAGACTGAAGGGAAATTAGTTTGGAGAATAAGAACAATTTCAAACATAAGCTTGCAGTGACTATTTGACATTCAAAGGACAAGGTCAAGAAAGCTATTGGAATGATGAGTCTGAGTTCAGGAGAAATGTACAAGCTAGAGACACCAGAATGTAGATGGTGTTTCAGGCCACGCAATTGGATGAGTTCACCAAGCAAATGAGCATAGATAGACGGGGAAGAGCCCCAAGATCTGAGTCAGGGCGATTAGGATAAAACCCTAAAAGAAGCAGAGAAAGAGCATTCAGAGAGTAAGAGGAAAACCAAAACTGGAAGAGTGTAACAACCAGAAGCTATGTAGAAACAGTGCTTCAAGATGGAGTGGTCATTAGGGTTGGAAACAGAGAATCATCAGTTCTCTTGACAAGGTGGCTTGCAAAGTGATGGGGCAGAGGTTGAGTAGAATAAGTTAATGGAGAATGGGGGGAAAAAATGGCAGCAGCTGCTATTTATAACATTTTCAAGTTACCTTGCTATAAAGCAAGGAAAGAATGGAAATCTAGAAAAAGTACAGATGAGAGAGCTAGCAGCATTCTTGTATGTTATTTGGAATAATCCAGCAATGGGGTGGAGGGATGGAGATAAAAGAGGCAATTGCTGGAATCACTTCCTTAAGCAGTACAAGGTGGCAGGCAGGGTGTCATGCTCATGTGGAAGAGTGGGCCATGAACAGGGTTGTGGACAGGACATGGATGGTAGGTCCTCACTAACACAAGAAAAGGTAGGCTGGCAGATGTGGTGGTGGGAGCCCTGTGAAATGGGAACAAGATCATGAGCTGAGAGTGAGAGTAGAGAAGGGAGTGTTGGGGATTTGAGGAGAGAGGAGATGTGTTGAAATAGCCACACAGGAAATGGAGAGATGGTGGACTAGGAAATGTGGGATGACTGCTATAAGGCATTATGGCCCACTTAAGATTTGTGGTCTTAAATTTAAAGTGAGACCCATCAGCCTGACTGGCATTCTCCTCCAGCCTGGGTCAGCTGCAAGGAAGCAGCCTGGAGTAGATGGGAGCTTGAACCAAAGGGCTGTGGCTTAGCCAGCAGGGACAACAAAGCTAGAGAGGCCAAGGAATGAGGTGGCTGCCAGGAGTGATGATAGCACTATAGTGACTATAGTGACTATAGCAATTGCTGGAGGAACTTGGGAGAGGGGTAAGGAGGGAAAGGGGTACAAGATGTGTGCAGTTAAACAGTGGTAGTTCCAGTGAATTTGGGGTCATGGAGTCTTCAGTGTTGTGGGAGTTGGGGTACCAAAATAGAACAAGCAGGAAAGACAAGAGATTGCTGGCAGAAAGTGGGATGTTTGACAAGCTCTAGGGTGCAGGACTGTCCAGTAGAACTTTCCACAATGCTGACAATGTCCTTTGTCTTCTCTGGACAGTAGCCACTGACCTCCTGTGGATATTAAGCACTTGAAATGTTATTGTGCAACTGAGGAACTGAGTTTCTAATTTCATTTTATTTATATTTAAATTTGGATGGCCACATGTAGCTAGTTGTTATAGCGCAGATCAAGGGTGTGGCATGGGAATGAGGGACTAAGATAGGGTAGAGGACAATAACTCAGAGAAGTGGTATTGGGAAGATCCTCTTGGTGGATAGTTAAATCACAAAGAAGGATGACAGACGTACCAATGATAGGCCTTGCAGTGAGGAACTTACGGCTATGAGGGATGCCAGGAGCACCCAGGGTTGACTCTACCCAGGAGAGTAGAGAGTGACTGTCCAGAGATTTTAGATGCCAAGCCCAATGCTTTTCAGGAGAAAAGAAGGAAAAGGGTATAGAAGCAGCAATGAGGAGCAAGGAGAACAACCTCCCAGCCTCCAGGAACAGGAACTTGAAAAGATGCAGCTACCATCTGTGGGCTGGTGTTCTCAGGGAGAACCAGGGTCTGCTTGGGACAAGAGGGTGAAGTGTCAGCCCAGGTGGTGCCAGCACAGAGCAGTGCAGCATTGGAATCCAGGGTAAGAGTGGGGCCTGCTATGACTATGTTTGTTACTCCCATCCTTATGACTTTTTAAAGTGACTTTCCCACAACCGGCAGGTTCTGACTTCCCTTCTTCTTGATTTTGATGTTCTTACGTTCTGCAATATGAGAGATGGACTTTGTGGGCCCAGGGAGAATCAGTGCCCAGCCTGACCCTCTGGCTGCTGTCCTCTGACCCCTCTGTGTATTGCAGGTGTTTGGTGTTCATCTGAACAAGTGGCAGCTGGACAAGAAGCTCGGATGTGGGTGCCTTTTTCTGTATGGTGTGTTCCTGTGCTTCTCCATCATGACAGAGTTCAACGTGTTCACTTTTGTGAACTTGCCCATGTGTGGGGAACATTGATCTACGAGGCCTCCTGCCAAGGCTCAGTTCCTTCTTTTCTGTGCAATACAAAACCCGGATGCACACGGAGTCACAGGGGCCCCCAGGGCTGGGGCTTCCATCTCGCCCACGCTGTTCACCAGCCTCCGCACCACCTCGGTGGCTCAGGCTCTCCCTGCCCCTTCCCTCCTCCACCTCCTCATGTTCTCCCTGCCACCCAGCCCCTCTTGCCCACCCCTTTCTGCCACCTCCATGTGAAGACTTTCACCATCCACCTGAATTTTCAAGCTCCAGAACAGTGACTGAGATTCTAGAAAACTGGCTGCTAACTGGCCCAAGCCAGACAAAACTTATTACAATCCCTCCTTTTTTTAAGTTATTGGATAAAAGACTAACATAATTTATGACCTGAGACTGTTAAAAAGTTAGTGAAGAGAGGGTAAATTGATTATAGGGAGTGTTTGGAATTTTGTTATGTTGTGAGGTGATTCCTAGGTTTCTAGGTTTTGGGGGGTTGTTTCACTTTGTGGGGGAGGAGAGGCTCTCCTTTTCACTCCTTTTCTTCCAGAGATGGAGAGAGCTCCTCTTGCATCTTCTTCTCCTGGGCTCTGGGTTAGTGGGTGATCCACAAGTTGTCCCCACTTGTCTTGGGATCAGACCCCATGCATGTTGGAACATGTGTAGATCTTATGGCTCATCAGAGGAACAACTGAGCTAGGCCACTGGGAACAGATACACGACATTTCATACCCAAGGATGCCCCCAGAGTCCTGTAGGTATTGCCTACGGGGTACAAGTTTTTCTGAGAAAGAAGACAGCTTCCCACATGTCCATTATGACCTTCACTTTCTTACTAGGTTCTTTCTAGCCTCTCAAGCAATAGTTCTAGCCTGCCTGAGGTCTTTGTCAAGGGGCCCTGGTTAAACATCCATCTGTGATGTGCCAGGCAGTTAGCAGCAGAAGCTTCCCAACCTGTGAGTACCTAAGATGTGCTCTCATGGCTTGACATTTGGGGTAACGGAGTGACTCAGAGGCCACCACTGCTTTCTGTGCAGGAGTTACAGACACTGGTTTCTTGGAAAATGGAGAGAAGCACACTTTGCACAGACATCGTCAATAAAGTCCCAATTTGCCACTTGGTACTGAGTACACTGGACCCTGACAGCTGGCTCTTGGGCCAGTGTCCTTCCTCCAGGATGCCACGGCCTGCCCGGCTCCACCCATCCCCTCCTGAAAGGATGGCAAGGGAAGGAGAAAACAGAACTGACATCTTTGAAACCATAGAATGTGTTAAATGCAGACTCACTCAAGGGCATAAGTTATTGTGAATGTTGTAGCCAATCACTGCTCAACAGCCCTGCTAGATTTTATATGACGCTGAATTATTATGCAGACTAATTCCACCAGTTGAGACACACCCATGCTTGTTTCACTTGTATTTATTGAAACTGTGGATTCATGCTCGCGCTCCCCCTATATTTACTTTAAGCACTGATCACTAATAATCCATTTGGTATGGTTTTCCCTGTCCCTTGTACACATTCTGGTATGAATTGTAAAAATAACCTGCTACAAATTGGTTGAATGTCTCTGTCAAGAGTGTGAAATGAGATGAGCATTAGCCAATGGGGCACCTGCCTGATGGAGGATTGGGAGAGGAAAATCACCAATTTGGGCTCTCAGAGCTAAGACACACTTATTGATTCTGTTGCACATTTTGCACTGGTTTATGGCAATTGTTTTCTTGGACAGATAGTGTAAAATAAACTTCTCTGTTCGGTATCCTTCCTTGATCAGTGCACATTACTTTCTCCTTGGATTCTGGAGTGTTGTCTCTTTGAAACTGAGGAGTATGCCTGCAAGGGAAGAAAATTGCAGTCACCAAGAGTCCAGGTGTTTACCCTTCTGTTTCTGGGTAGACTCACCCGGGAATCTGGTAAATGTCTGGTGGGTTACAAGCATGAAGTGGTAGATCATGGATCCCCTCTAAATCTTGAATTGTCATTAGACCTGTTGTCCTATAGAATACATGTGACATTATGTTAGGATTCTTTATTTCAGCTGGACATGCGAGAAACAGCATGCCAGTACTAATGTCCTTCAGCAGTGCTCAAGGTCACCATCCAGTCTAATTTTGCTAGTTTTCAATTGTGAAAATTAAAACTTCCCTCAAGCCTGGTTCCCTGAAAGAGGCAATAACACTTAGTCACAACAAGTCATGTTCTTGTCCTGCATAACTCTTAAGGAATAATTACCCCCATCTAAAAGTGAACTGAGATGAATGAACAAGTCAGGTTTCCACCTGAAAGTCATCATTAATTGATTTATAGAAACTAAAAGAAAAATAGCACCAACATTTATTTAACTGTATTTAAAAATGTATTTCCAGGTGATAGAAAAATACTAGATACTTGGCTTTATTTTGAGTGTTTACATCTAAAAATGTTTTACTACCTTATCTGTGCATTTTTGTAAATATATTCTGGACATCAGAGAGGAAATTTTCATTATGCTGATTGGTGCTTACAAAGCATAAGATCCTTTAACATGAAATATTTTGTTATATTAGTCTTAATTAGTTTTATTCTAATCAAAGACATTTGATCTGAAATTTGATTTTTTAAAAAACATATTTGCTGTGAAATCTTTAGAAACCAGATCATTTGTCTCAGAGACAAAATTCTGGGAGGAGATAAGAGTTTCCATGTTCCATGCACAATGACTGCCAGCCTAAGAACTGCGAAAGTTTCCTTTCTGAAATGAACATTTGTCCAATTTGTGTCTTGAATTGTTGAGAATGTGGTTCTAAATAAGCTGGCCATCAGTGATGCAGAACTGTTGATGTCACTGCTTGTGTGGCTTCCACTGTGCTGGGATTCCTTTGGGAGGGATTGAGATGGGTGTGAGACAAGTAGTTTTTGTTAACATCCCAAATCTGGCAGTATCATCAGAAAAACCCTCTCAGTAATTTTCTGGGATGTGCTGGTTTCAGTCAACTACCCAGTCTGTGATCTCATGCACAAGGGGGACATCTCTGTGACCCTAAACAAGGGAAGGCACACACTGGAGCTTGCACCTCCTCCTGAACACATCCTAGTTGACCTCATAAGAAGGTACCTCCAGAACATTTTCCTTTTCTGGGAATTGTGTTTTCAACTTGGTCCAGGGCTGTTGTCCATAAACATGCCCTTCAGGTGGCTTCAGGTACACTGACAAGCCACAGTGGGATATTTCTAGATGGCTTTTCCCCTTCCCAAAGAAAAGTGCTTACCTATCTTTTTAGGGAGAGCACACGTTTATAGGCATAAAACTTGTACCTATAAAAGTGGAGGCTGCTTATTATGTTTTACTAAGTCTGTTGCTTTGACATTTATTGTTTGCAGTCATAAATTTACATGCTAGGGCCTCTTTCTATCCCAACAGCACATGCACATTTGAACTCATTTTAAGCACCCAAGCTTCAAAGAAAAGCCTAAGTGTTAAAAAGAAAAGCGGGAAAGGGTGTAATAATATCGTAAAGTCTAGGCAGTTTTCAATTGTGGCACATAAAATGAGAATAACATCCAACTTGCAATAAATATAACCAAATGTAAGCCTTAGAACTTTACCTAATTGTTCATGAAAATATTCAGATTGTTAGGAAAAAAATAGAAGTGGGAAATGGGTGATGGTGATGCTGCTCTATGTAAGATTTATTTTCACCCTCTGAAAATAACAAAATTATCCCATTAATAGATAATTATCCAAGTATTTTGGTGCATTTTCATCAGCTATTTTGAAATAGATGGGATATTTCCATGTTGCATTATGAGTAGTCTCATACTAATTAGTGACTCTCATTTATTTTGATATTTTCTATAATAGTTCAACACACATACACACACACATCTATCTGACACCAATGCTCTTGTATAAAAACAGTTCGATGGATCTTTGAAATGTTTCCAAATATCTAGCTGTGTATTATGACACATCTGCAGGAGTGGGTTGGATTTAGCCAACTTTTCTTTGATAAATAAAAGTCGACATGTCATCCTGGCCTGTGTGGCTCAGTTGGTTGGACTGTCCTCCCATAACCAAGGGGTTGCAGGTTTGATCTCGGGTCAGAGCACATACCTAGGTTGTGGGTTCAATCCCCCATCCAGGCATGGGTGTGTGCAATCCCCAGGTCCGGGCACATATAGGAGGCAACCAATCAATGCTTCTCTCTCTCCCTTCCTCTCTCTCTAAAAGCAATGAAAAATGTCCTCCAGGAAGGATTAAAAAACCCACGTGTCCATTCAATTATTACATCATCATCCAAAGATGTGGGCATCTGCAGAGATGCCAAAAAAGTCAGGAACTAAGGCCCTGGATGAACAGAGATTAGCAATGCACACAAGATATTGATTTTACATTGAACTTTATGCTTAGTTTAAAAACACAGAGCATAATAATAAAACTCCACCAAAACTTTCAGATAGCTTACTGCAGGACACTTATTTCCTTAATAAAGTATACCCAGTAGTCCATTAAGAAGTTTTCATTGAACGTCAATTTAGCAAACACCAAGTTGTAGAGGTTCTAAATATGATAAATAATCATAGTTAATATTCATTTTGATTTTGGTCTTCGTTTTTGTAACAGGAGAGAAGATTTAAGACTATAGTTTTGACATATGTTTCATTTAAAGCATAAGTTGAATTATTTACATGAACACATCCACATTTACATGAATCACATTTTTTCTTTACATTACTCCTTGTTTATTCAAAGCTGAATTTGGTGATGTCATATCTTCTGACTTTTTGAGACAATCCAGTGACTAACTCCAGAAAACTGCATACAAAACTTGGAATGAAATGTAACAAAGAATCTCACAATCCTTGCAGTGGTTTTTCAGATACTTATGATCCATGACTACGTGTCAGCTAAAATGAGATGTGCACATATGTTTTTGACATAAAATTAACATTTTAAAATTCTTGCTGAAAAAATATATTCACTTAATTTCATATCTTTCTTTATGATACGTAAGTCAGATGCTTTCTCTCTCTCATATGATTGAGGAAGATGTGCTTCTTAAATGCTAGATACTAAGCCTGTGCTCTGCTCAGTCACCATTATGCTAACCACTAATAGGATCAAAACAAATGCCCACTTCTTTATTTTTAGGATTTATTTTGTCTACTGGTTACAGGTTCCTGAAATACTAGCTCCAGAACATCTAAAAATTTATTGCCGTATCAGGTGGAATTGTTTCCTCCAGTTGCTTAAAAGTTAAGTATTATGTTCAACATCATATATAAAAATGCATTTACACATTTACTCATATTTTATGTACAAATATCTGGGCCCCATCCTTGAGTTTCTGGTTCAGTAGGTCTAAGGATAGTCAAGAATTTGCATTTCTCACCAACTCCCAGTTGCCAGCAATGCTGAGACCCACTGTGAAGACTACTGTTGTAAATAATGTCCTTTGCCCACAAAGCCACATTTTTCTTACACCATCCTCCACCAATGTCTTTGGTTTATAGCTTATGTAAAGTGCACACACACAGAGATAGACTGTTTCTTTCACTGTTTTAAAATTCTTTTTTCTTTCTACTTCTACTGAGATCTATGACTGTTGAAAATAAAAAAGATATATGTTCAACTCTTCATTATCTACATTCTCTAGCATCCTGCATGTCTCCTCCCAGTTGAAAACAACTTTTAAATTAAAACTGAATCAGATCAAAATAAATAAATGGTTTAAGATAAAGGTGCAGGAAAGCCAAGATTCCGGATGGAATATTAGCTCAGTAGAGATGGGAGCAGACAACCAGCAATTTTATTCAAGGTGAAAAAGATTTAGTTCTAAACTACAGTAAGAGGAATTAACAGTGAATATAGGAGAAATTTTCTGCACATGAACTCCTATTTTCACATGACAACCATATATGTAACAGGATGCAGCCAAGAGGGGGTCCCCAAATGGGGATTTGTAATGGGGTCCAGAAATCAGGGTGTCCAGGAAATATCAGAAATATATATTTCTATATCTAGTAGGAGTGACTTCAACCCGTGATACAACTGGGAGGCAACTCCCCCTGGTTACAGCGCTTGTGTGAGAGCTTGGAGATGATTGGCTCCACACCATGTGGCCATGCCTGCCCAGAATTACTATTGCAGCCCAGTAAAGCTGAAAGAATACAGGAATGCTGGCAGGTGTAAGTGACTGTGGGAAGGGTTGGAAATGGGGCTACAGAGGAAGGTTGGCGCTGGGATTGAAACCTAAGCATGGCAGCCAGGTTGGGGCTTTTTGGGACCACACAGCTTTGGTGAAAATTGGGTCCATGCAGCTTTAAGGTGCGCCCTTTTTGCCAGGTGGCTTAGGAAACAGGAGAGACTTTGCCTGGAAGAAAGGGTGTGAAAGGATTCTTGCTGGTGGACCATGAGAAGGTGCCACATGGTTTTGGATTAACTGGAGATCAAGGCAGCAACACAACAGATGGTGCCAGAACTGAGGGGCTGCCTGAACCATGGACTTCTACTTCTTTTCCTGAGATATGGTACCCCAAACTGGGCAAAGGGGAGAAGGAAGGACTGTGAGTTGGTGGGTATTCTAAAGGACTTTAGTATTTTTAATGAAGACATTAAGTCAGTACCCTAAGTCTGTATAACTTTTTAAATGAACAATCCCTTTCCTTTTTACCAATCTCTGGCATTGAGAGACATCTTTCCCTGGTGACAGGCAAGGCAAAACTAGTATGGAGTAGAGGGACCACCAGAGCACAAGGGTAGGTCCATTTGGTATTAGTATATCATTCATCACCACCCCTGGGTCTGTTCTGTAACATATATAGCTAACTTTCTAATCTAAAAACATTATTTTGATGCAAATCCATCCAACAAAGATATGGCTCAGAAATAAAAGTTGGGCTTTATAGCTCAAGTGCTTCAGATGATTGCACATGCCTGCACCATGGTCTTGCCTCAGAAACAAGAGCAGAACATCCCAGCCATATGTTCTTTCTGGGACTCAGAAAACTCCATTGACAGGTGGCGGCCCTGGTCAGCTTCCATGTGGAAAATATTGCTAACCCCAAGTAAGAGTCAGGCATTAGCCTGATTTGTGCCTATAGCTGGACCCTAATGTGGCTTGGGCTCTTGGCTTATCCACAAGAACCTCAGGGGACACAATGTGCTAAAAAACGACATGGTAAAAGCCACATTTTATATCCACTAAAAGTTTTGCTTAGAGTCATAAGTGGAATCAGACATTGGTTTGCATAATCCAGTGGGCATTCAGGAAGACAGGAAGAAGGGAAATTCTTCTTTTCCAGAAATAAAATATCATATGCTTGGCCTATGCTAGTGTAGGGGTGGTCAGCCCAAAGGCAATGATATGTTATACGTCCCTCCCTAAATCTCTCTTCCTGAGGTGGTATCTCCAACCAAAAAACATGCTCTCAGGTGGCAGTGCTAATGGGAGACCCACTATATCATGTTACAATGGATACAAGGTATTTTTTTCCTATTTCCAAGATGCCTCAGTGATAGAGGCAGCCACTTTATGCTTCTAGGCAGAATTTAATGTTACCTAACTGCTAACTAAGGACCTATCTTAGGAGGAAAAACTAGAACTTTGAATAGATGGGATTCATACCAAGAAATTCACTCCTCTATTATAAACAAAGCAAATATGCTATAAATGAGGTAAATCTGTTATAGATGAGGCCAATCAATTAATTGGAGGCATTGATTCTGAATGTGCCTTGGATGAACATAGTAACAGAACTGTATCACTCTCAAAGGAATCTATAACAATTTCAAATTTTAAGTCCATTTTAGTATTTGTTTCAGAAAGGAACTATGCCTTTAACATGGGTTGACTGGCTAAACAGAAAGTTTCACAATTTATACAATGAAGTCTGCAACAAGAAAGCCTTTTAAAATCGGTGGTCAGCTTTCCTCTGCAGCCCATCAGGGAAATCAATGTTATGCTTCACGGTTTCTTCTAACAGTTAAAGTCGTGATTTAGTGCTCTGGAAAGTAAACAGGTCCCATCTCAAATGTGGCCCCACCCCCAATAATTCTGATTTGTATTATCTGCTCATCTGTTTTTGGCTGCCCAGATGTCTCTACCACGGTTCAGAGCCATGGTTCCTGGAAGACCATTTGGGATATTTCACTGTGCAGATCCAAATAGAAATACAGTGTGCCCTGCAGGTCTTTGCTACTCAAATCTGTGAATGGGCCTTGAACTGACAGCTTTGACTAGAAAGAGAGACTTGTGGAATTTCTATAAAATAGCATTGTCAGGTAGAATTTTCTGCAATGTTGGTAATGTCCTACATCTGTACTGTCCCATGGAGCAGCCATTCGGAACACACTGCTGTTGAGCACTTGAAAAAGGCTCAAGTACCTAGGAATAAAATTGTTAGTCTCCTGCCATGTCTGGTGTGGCTCAGTTGGTTGGAGCATCATCACATAAACTGAAAGGCTGCAAGTTTGTTTCCAGGTCAGGGGACATACCTAGGTTGTGGGTTCAGCTTGCCCCCCTCCCACAGTTGGGGCACATATGGGAGGTATCCAATCATTTCTCTCACACTGATGTTTCTCTCTCTTCCTCTTCTTCTGTAATCAAAAAAGAAAAAACATTTTAGTCTTGTAGAACTTTAATAAAATTAAACTTACATTTAAAGAGCCACCTGCAGCTACAACACTGGACAGAGCAGGTGGAGAATATTAAAGGGCCAACCTGGCTGACAAGGTTCATAGCATTTCTTCTGTAGTGTAGAGAGGATGCCCCTTTGCTTTGACCTAGGTCATGAGGCTGCTGCCCTGAAAGTGGAGGCATATCTTAGAGCAGCTGTGCTCACAGATGCTCCCTGACCAACAGCAGCAGCATGACCTCAGAGCTGGTTAGAAATGCACGTTCTCAGGCTGCAGGTGATATGTACAAACATTCAAGCTTGAGAAGCTCTGTGAGTAGAGATATCTTCTCTGCTCTCCAGAAAACACCATTTTCCAGGAGGTCACTCAGTATTGTCACTGGTATCAGTGTATATTTGAGGAATTGCCAAATGGGGCAGGCACAGATTATGGGGAGGAACACATTTGAAATTAGGGATGGGTTAGTGGATCTGGAGGACAGAACAGTCATATTTTAGTTCCAATAAGCCCTCATTTGGGTGAGGTTAAAGGAGTAACTACAAAGAATTCAAGTAAAGGGACAAGATTTAACTCAGGGTGTGTCTCACCTAACTCTCAAATTCATCCCGTATCAGATATGCTACCAGATAGCTTTACTAATATTGGAAATTCCTATGTTTTTCTGATAAACTAAGCAGATCTGTCTCATTTCCATATTGAATTGGGAACTGATTCTACAGTTTTCCTTAAAAAGCCCCACAGATTTTGCCTCACTTGCAAGAAATGAACTGTCTCCTTTGAGGCTATTTTAAAAAAAATAGCTCAACCAAGGAAATCATTGCATTTAGCAAAAGGAGGCAGAAAACAGAAAAAGAAGGGAAAGGGTTTATGTAACAGCAGTTCTTGTAGTAAGTGTGGGGACCCACTGGGAGGACATTTAAACTGTAATTTCCGAAGTGATAATCAGGACCCAGCTGGATAGCGGTAAAGTTAGAAGACAGAAGGCAGCACAGCCAGGAATTTGAGTAGCAAATGACTCAGTCCACAGGATAATTTCTTCACCCAGGGGAGCACCAACAGTCTTCTGTTGTGTTGGTGGTGTTGCATAATCATTTCAGTCATCTTGGTGTGAATGAGAATGAAAATCGGTCTTTCTGCAGCTTGTGGAAGTAATTTAGTCACAGCTCTCTACACACCAAATTCTGGACACTTAGCACCAACAGCCCCTGAACTTTCCATAGGGTTGACTTTTTTTTTTCCTAGGGACATGCTGTCTCAGTATTCCTTCCCCTTTTAGCACCCCCAACCCAAATACAAAACAGCATATTGGTTTGTTCTGAGAACAGCATATTTGGCTTTAATTACCTTTTCCACAGCTGTTCAGGCCATTCTAAGTACCTTAGAAATTGTACTCCATTATTCAGTATTAACATTCATCTACTGCTCTTCTTATATTGATACAAAAGCTATTTTAAAACAATCATTACAGAATTTAATTTGCAAATAAGCACAAGACAAAAACAAATAGGGTATTTTATTCTAGCATCTTACATGCATGATTCTACCCACATATAAGAACAAAGTAGTGTGGAGATTTGTTCAGGATCAATAAGGGCTGGGCCCAAGAAAACACACTATCAACACTTTGACAAACAACTTCTTACACTCTACTGCCAAAACAAGGATACAGGTAAAAGTAAAAAAATCTGTCAAAGTATATATTCAAAATGTTTTTCTGAATGACTTTCATGCAAAAATAAGATAAGACAATAAATATAAGTTTAAGAGTACTTAAGTCACTAACATGGGAAAGAGCAAGATGGTGAAGCTGGTTCAGAGCACTTTGAGAACCTGGGTATATAGAGTACTGGGTATAAGGCTGGTTAACAAATTTCAGGGCAACCAAACCACAACATACAATGATCTTTTTTACCTGACAGAAGTTATTTGCCTGTTTCAGACAAGACCCAGAAATTAACATTCTGAGATCTGAATAATAGTGAGTCAAACAGAAATATACACTCCCATTGATTACTCAATAATCCTTGAATGGACCTGTGCAACAATGTCAAGGTATGACATTGAAATGACGAGCTAACCTTAACCCTAAACCCTCTCTTGGCCTTATTTTCAGTTATGTGATACTGCTATTAGTTTCCATCTAAATCATGTATTATTTATGCATGTTTACAAGTTCTCAGTGAAGCAGGCCTGACATTCTTCTAGTTCCCAGGAATTTTCATTAAAAGCATTGCCTTTCCCTTCCTGAAATGTCTTCTTTTGAAGTTTCCCCCAATATAGTACAAGATATTAATTTAGAGGAACTTAATGAAAGTAGCTGGATTCCTTTCATTTACAAACATGCCTTTTTTCCTGCTTCATGGTACCCACACTTCATTCAAAGCTGAAAACAAAACATAGCAGGGACAATGGAGCTGAGCATGTGTTCTAGACATATCAGGATGAAGCAGGAATGTTCCACTAGGTTCAATTAAAATTTGTTTCATTTTTTAGATAAATTAAAGTTTTCTGATGCTTCTCACTTTAGCGCAATACACGCATGAGACAGAGTAAAATAGGAATGCTTATGTGACATAGCATTAATTTCCACTTTGGGAGATTCCATGGTTTAAAAAAGAAAAAAGGAATTAAAGAATTATCAAGGCAAAAATTCATTCTCAAATACTATTTTCCCTTCAAAGAGATGTGTCATCTTAAAATAAGATGAAACAAGAGACAAATTTTGGTTAACATTTTGAAAGAGAACTGATTTTTTCATACTTGTGTTTATATGATTTCTCTGTTTGTTTTGCCATATAGAGCACTACTTTTGTTTACCACTCTTTCTCTGTTTGCATGTATGAATTAGGGGTTTAAGAGAGATAAGAGCATTTGTTATTCCATTTCTCACTTTTTCATACCAGTTTTTCTGTATCTAAAGAAGTTGTGGCTTTTGGTAAACCTAGGAAATTTTCACAGCTGTCATTCAAAGAATAATAGCAAGATTTGCTGCATTTTACTTTTCTAATTGTCTTTTAATTAATTTTCATAATTTTTGTGGATTGAATGAGTCCACCCCCCAAAAAATATGTTCAGATCCTGTCCCTTGTTACCTATGAATTTGACCCTATTTGGAAATAGAGCCTTGGCAGATATAATCACATTAAGATGAGATCATACTGGATTCAGGTGGGCTCTAAATCCAAAAACTGATGTCATAAGAAGAGGAAAATTTGGATACAGACACACAAGGAGAATGCCATATGACCACGTGCCAAAGATGGGAGATATGCTGCCACCAGCCAAAGACTGCCAAGAAGCTAAGAGGGAGGCTTGGAACAGGGTATAGTTTGAGCCTCCAAGAAGGAAACAATCATGATTGATTTGGGACTTCTGGTCTTTAGAAATGTGAGAGAATAAATCTGTGTTGTTTTAAGTCACCATGTGGTAATTTGTTTTGGCTGCCCTGGGAAGCTAATTCAATGATGCTTCAGATAACTACACTGAAATAATATCACATTTATCAACACATCAGTTCTCTTTTATTGGACCTTAACTGTTTATAGGAAAGACTCATAACTCTTAGTAAACAAGGGGAAATCGCACACTGTTTAAGCCTTCTGCGTCCCTTTCTGGGTGGAGCCATAGTGCAAACAAGACAAATAGGACACTCCAGGCTTGCCACTTCTGAAACAGCATTTCTATGGGAGAGCCATTCCAGGCAGTACTAGGAAAGGCAGTGCCACAAAACTGCTGCCCAGAACCTACACACAAGCCCTTCCAAAGCCCCCAAGATGGGAGTAGATATCTCTGTGATTCTGCCAGAGGTGGGGTTTGACCATGGGTTTGTGGGATGATGCTTAGACTGGGGTTGAGATGGTCACTGTCTAATGAGGATAGAGCACACAAGAGAGACTCAGACTTCTGCAACTTCTCCAGTTTGCTCTTATGTTGTGGTGGAGGGAGACTGAGGGTCCAAGCCAAAGGGTGGGCAGAAGGATAGGGGAGGGCTCTTGCTATGAATCATCAGCTCCAATAGGTACAAGCTAAATCTCCTTTGGAAGAGGCAGAGGATGGAGCCAGGGTTGTACAGTAGCAGACATTTCCAAGGTATATGGAGGATAATCACATCCCTGGCCTTTTGACATCTAGAAGACCAGTAAGGGCACAGAGCATGTGGACACTGAAATGTACAATGGCCACTTCTCATTCTGCTATGTATCAAATGTCCACCCAAAGGGCTTCTAGCTTGAGAGCACCATCATCCTTAGCAATTATTTGCTGCATGAGCCATGTTTTTGGATACCAGCAAAAGAGTCAGTAGATGGGATTCTCCCAAACATGGTAGACCTGCCCTCTTGGGAGACCAGTGGAGGAAACTAAGTATTAGTCAACTTGGGCCTCTCCCATCACTGACCCAGTCCACAGTCTGGGGAATCAATTCTGGGAGACATCTGACCCAGGGTTTGCATTACTTATTTACCCTTGCATCTGCTCACATGCCCTCCCTTTCTCTGCTTTTCTTCAATGACCCATACAGGTCTCTGCTGCCACCCTGGGGTGTGTGATGATTCTATGGGGGCAGTCTTGGGTTCATGTGCCTCAATCTCTCATAGCTATTTCTTCTGGTCTCACATTGTGTCAGGCAGGGAGGACTCTGAAGCCTTCCCACTTTGCTGGAGAGGAAATGCAGAGTACCTTCTACCCTAAGATCTTCATCCTATATACTAGGGAATCCATAATTCCTCATCATAAGACAAACTTACCAAGGCCATTTACACCTTTCCTTCAGAGGGCTTAAACTTACACAATGCCTGGGGAGAACCATCATAGGTTGGTTTTTCATTCTTTCATACTCAAATAAGTAACATCATTTTAAAGTTTAGGATGCATCTCATGCCAACTACAAAGTACACTGGAGCACAAGAATTATAAGATGTGCCTACTGACCAGCACCAGGTGCATTCCAGAAGTACCAGACA